ATTTCCGCCTTTTGGCCGTACGTTCACTTTTAGTTTGGTTTCCACGCAATCCTTTATAAATGAGACCCCAGAACTTCAGACTCATTGTTTCAGCTTACAGGCAAAAACAGACAATATTGTAAACCAAAACTGAACAAGAATTTCCCAATAAAACCCAAAGCCCACACTAAAACGACTGTAAAACATCAGGAAATAAAATTAGACGTTTACCCAGCATCCTTTGCAGTTGGGATGCCATTCAGTCACGAAAATAATTTCATTAGTTTGCGGCAAAATAAATTATAATTAAAAAAACGAAGACTCATAGAATTTTTTTTTTTTTTTTTTTTTTTTTTTAGTGTTTTAAATTTAAGAACTAAATGAACAGAAACAGAATTTCACACATTGTGATTTCAATGCCCTTCGTCCGCTCTTCCCGATTGTGAACTGTAGTTCCTCCTACTGGCTTTATCTTCTAACATGACGGCTGTTACCCAGCATGCAATGAACTGTGATGTAGCTTCCCGTTCTCCATTTTCACAAATTTCACCTCTAAAAGAGACATGAATGCTCATTAGATCAATGAAGCATTTTGAGTTTTGTTGACTTACACATTTAGGTTTGATATGAAGTTTAGTTACTGACCGTAAAATTGAAACAATTACCTCTGAGCCAGAGTGATAGAGAGGGGAAATGAACATAAGGTTTTGTTTTTGAACACACCCACCGCTGAGCACAATAACACTGTTCTTGTTGCCTTGTAGCGCACTAATCTAACAAATTTTAGAGGTTTAGCTTTAGCCTCTGCCAATTCTCTATTCATTTAGCTTTTGTCATTTGCGGAACTAAGAAACTTTTAGCTGTTTAGTAGAGATTGGATAAATGGCTCTTTGAAGGGATCTGGACCTTGGGGAGCCATTTGTTTCACACAGCCGTTCAAAAGAGCCGTTCGATTTTGAAGGAGTTACGTCATCACGTAGGAAAATGCGTCATCGCGTTGTCGTGCGTAATGACGTCATCGCGTTGAGTTGGTGGAACCATGTGTTTTGTCAAGCTTTCCCCGTGAGCTTCTGTACTCCACTGATCTTTCTGTGAAAAAGCAAAGCGGGAGAGATAAGGATGAAAAATAAAGATAACACGAGATATTAAAAAAACAAGCTACAAATGGCTCGTTACTGCCCGCAACTCAGCTCCTATCATTCATTGTAAAGATCCGTTCAAAAGCCGTTTTTTTCTCTTTTTCTTTTTTTTATTCTTTTTTGTTTTGTTTTGTTTTGTTATTGAAATTTGAAGTTTATTTTTGATTTTCATTTGAGAAAAAAGGGGCAGATACTGTATCATAATGCTATGTTCACACCGAACACGTTTTGAGTGGCAGGAGCGGCCGATTTACATGCAAAGTCTATGAGGACGCGCCTCTAGGGGTCGTGCGTCGCGTCATGTACATTTTGGGCGGCGCGGAAGGGGCGCAGAGCGTTTTCCGCGCATGCAGTGCTGCGGAAGCCGCCGCAGCCAGAGTTCAAATACAGCGGGTAAAATAAGTATTGAACACGTCAACATTTTTCTCAGTAAATATATTACTAAATGTGCTAATGACATGAAATTTTCACCAGATGTCGGTAACAACCCAAGTGATCCATACATACAAAGAAATCAAACTATAAATGTCCAGAAATGAATTAGTTGTAATAATGTGGAATGGCACAGGGAAAAAGTATTGAACACACTTACTGAAATTTATCTAATACTTTGTACCAGGGGTGCCCAAACATTTTCCTTGAGGGGGCCAAAATGAAAATCTATCGGGGGCTGCGGGCCAAATGCAGTAATATAATATATGAAATACAAATACTTTTTAAAGTAAAGTCCTTTATTTTTAAMGATTAAGCTGTGCAATTGCCCTCTTTTGTTTTAGTCTGTGCACTTGGAGAAAGTCTGCCATACACTCAAGTAGCAAAGGCTCATGGGACATTTCATAAATTGATAAAATATGAGTTTTTGTGGCMTTATAAAGTGTGCAAATCTACATGTGGGGTCAAATCTGATCTAAATATTTCTTGTAATTTTATGTTTCATGTTTAATCCCAATAAATCAAAGATAAAGTCAGCACCATGAAAGAAAACTACCTTCACTACAGCCCTTTTATATAATCATTTGACCAATGGAAATACTGTGTTTCTACATAGGATAACAGGTTACAACCTTGTAACTTTGGCAACTGTTGGTGGGCCAAATCAAACGGCTTGGCGGGCCAAATTTGGCCCGCGGGCCCCACTTTGGGCTCCTCTACTTTGTACAAAAGCCTTTGTTGTCAATGACAGCTTCAAGATGCCTCCTATATGGAGAAACTAGTGGCATGCATTGCTC